CGCAAGAACTCGAGCAAAGTGGTCGAGGGGTCAATCTCGTGGACCTCGAAACTCTCCCCGTTGACCTCGAAAACCAGACGGCCATCTTCTTCGACCTCCATTTCTGCTAAAAAAAACGCAGTCGATCTTGTAATAATGTGATTGAAAAAGACAATCTTGGGCCTGATTAGCTTAGCTAGTTACACTGTTCTAAGACGCAAATAATCAAAACATAGAAGAAAAAAAAAAACGTGGGCTGGGGATTGATTCACATGCACAATATTCACGCCATCTTTATCGTACAGTCATGAAATCAATGTTTTTTATATATAAAATTGTTTGTCGAGGGCTAGCGGAAGCAAGAGTCAAAGCTCCTACTTTTGGATTTGGTTTGGTAGTGACGAATAAAAATGATTAGCCCACAGTTGGGACTTTGATCGTGGCAGCATTCCATTTTCCAAAGCGTTTGTCCAATTTGCCGATTTTCGGTTCAATTTTTTTTTAATATTAAAATGACAATAATTACAATTTTCTTTGGCCTACAATTCTTACTTTTTAAGAAATTATAAAATATATAGTAGGAAAAAATTACAGTTCCGTTATAGAATGATTTTATTTCTATAAGAGTTTTTGTAATGGATTATCTAAAATAACTAACTCACATGTATACTATATAGTAATTAACTTATTGGCCTTCCCAATTTAAACTGATAAATCTAAATTAAAAGTTTAGAAATTCATATTATTTTAATAAAATGAGTTTTGTGACTTTGAAATTATTCTGATTTGTGAATGAAATATTATATATGCTCATGAAACTACCTAAATTCATGAGAAAAAAATAGCCGCAGCAGGAGGCCTCATTCGCGACTCACATGGGAGATGAGTTGGTGGGTTCATGCACAACATTGGCCTTGTTCAATAATCGGCAGAACTTTGGGGTTTACACGATGGGTTACAACTTGCTTGGGAGCTTCAGGGTCAGAAAATCTTAGCCGATGTTGATAACTCTAGTATTGTTCATATGGCGCTGAGCAACGAAGAGCCATCAGGGATTCATCGGGGCTTGCTTTTGGGTATCAGAGCTCTCTTGAGGCGCAATTGGGAATTGTTAGTCCGCATACCTATAGGGAAGCCAATTATACAGCTGATCATTTAGCGTCACAAGCGGCATTAGGTTCGTCTGGTTACTTTAAGTTGTATAATCCGCCGATTGGGGTTAAGGTTTAGTTGGAGCATGATTTAGCGGGGATTGCTTATCCTCGTAGCATAGTCTTGTAGCTTTCGACCTTTGTTGGGCTTTGCCTCCCTCCTTGTACCCAAAAAAAAAAAAAAAAAAAAAAAATCATGAGAAAAAAGTCTCTTTCATTGTTTTAAATATCGTGTTGACATGGTTTTCGGTAAACCAAATTATCAAAGGTTGTTACCGCAAGATCACGCAAAACTCGACATTGTCAAGTGCCATCACGTCGGAGACAACGCAAAAAAAAACCCGACGTCATTACTCGGCGAATAGACAATGAAGTGGCCACCTTTTTCCCTCTAACCGAGGTTTCTCGCCGGTCACACCCCATTCAACCGACGTCAACAAAGAAAAATTACCAACATCAAAATGCGGTGACAGCTCATCCCATCATCATGAATGTCGTCCAGGTGGCGAACAATCGATCCAGGTGGCAAAAGATCGCCTTTGACTTCACCGCCGCATTAAACGCGATCACACCTACCTCGTACGGTGGACCACCGTTCTATAAATAGCGGGTCAGACCCTCAGAAAAAGGACTTTTGACTGGGATAACTATTGTAATGCAATATCAAATAAACTTTACAAATATTCAATAAATTCCGACGTCGCCTATACATGAAACCGACGTCATTTCTGTTAACTACATGTTAAATCATATGTTGTTTGGTTAATCACTCTCACATAATATCGTTGTTAATTACCACATGACAACAGTTTGGCGCTAGAAGGAGGGCCTCATAAATATTTGAGGTTAATCTTCGCTTTCATAGCCACCACTTGCTCATATTCAGCCACTGAGCGCTTTACTATTTGTCGTAATGTCTCAATCCGGACGAGACCGCAATTCACATGCTGGGTAGAGTCATAATACGAATTATTCTGCTGGACAGACCACGCAACCTCATGTCGCGGCGGATTTCACAAGCGTTTTTCAAAATCCTGACTTTATCCAAGGTCTATCGTCACTTATGGCACGGGCGTTACCTAGCACGACGGTCACTGCCCACTTACAAACCCCTTTGCCAGTGACTACGACGGTGAAACCAAATTCTCTCGCGCGAAATCAAACAACTCATGCAACAGCATCGCATGCTACTTCACAACCGCGTCACACGTCCCAGCATCGTGAAGAGCTTACGCGACCAACACCAAATTCGCCACCTAATAATCTCGACACTGATGTGGCTCGAAATCAAGAAATGATGATTGAAAGTCACTCTGCTCATCGTCACAAAACGCCTGTACCTCCGAGGCCTCCATCTCCTTTGCCTGGAGACCATGAAGATTTACGTCGCCAAATTGAAAGGAATCGTATGTCACGACAAAACTCAGAAGAACTCGAGTCTTTGCGAAAACGCCTAGCCTAACTGGAAACCAGACATAAATCACACGAAGAATCTCCACGTCATATTTCGACTTCGGGTGACGTGGTCATTTAAGCTGACTCTCTTTTGGCACCCGAGCTCACTGCGGAGATGCTTCCTGCTAAAATAAAGATCCCACATATTGGTATGTATGATGGAACCTCAGACCCCGATGCTCATTTGGGACATTATACTTCCTGGATGGATTTGCATGGTGCGTCCGACGCCTTACGATGTCGCATGTTTTCCCTCACTCTTGGACCGAGAGCTCAAAAGTGGTACTACACCTTGCCGCCTCATTCGATATGGAAATGGCAGCAATTGAGGACAACTTTTCGGTCGCATTTCATTGGTGCTCAAGTGTGTCTCATTCCGAAAGAATCAATTACTAACATCGTGCAGATAGACAATGAGAGTGTTAAAGATTATGTTTCTCGGTTTAACAAACGTATCCAGAATATGGAACCATGCCATCCCGAGACATTGCTGGTTACTGTGATAGCCGGTTTAAGGCCGAATTCTGTATTTCGGTGGACTCTCTGCCAAAATAAACCGAGCACTTTCCAAGAATTTCTCGTACGCGCCCAATAGTTCATCATCGCCGAGAAATCGATGTTGGTTCCCAACTTTGATTTTTTCGTCAAAGAAGATAAGGCAGAAGAGAAGCCAAGAAGAAGAACAAAAAGAACTTCGGCAAGGCTCAATTTCAGAATTATACGAAGGAGAACTCAAACGCCTCGGACTCTAGGGTCGCGTGAGACCAATATGCCAAAAATGTGAGAACATATTATGAGACTGTTTATTCAACAGGGGCGACAACCATCTTTGAAGAGATGAAGGGAAAAGGGATCATCCCGGATCCGAAGCCTGTCAGAACCCCAGAAGAAAAACTTGATAAAACTTGATATTGTGCATATCATAAGTCTCTGGGACACAACACCGACGAGTGTCTCGGCCTGTTTTCAGCTCTCCTTCGCTTGATCGGGAGACCTCAACTTCAGAAGTTCATGAACTTTGATGCCCGTCGCAAAGGGAGACCTGCAAACATTTTAGATGAAGAAGACAATGATGACGGAGGTGTTAATGTAAAAAGAATCCGCACAATCGACAAGGAAGTCTTCACCTTTTCGAATGCTATTAGGGTTCTGACTACCGAAAGCAAGAAAGCCAAAACTGACATTTTACCGAGGTCTCCTCAGTGCAATCTTATACCTCGGGTGAACACTAATACCAAACAACTTCACACTTCCCGACGCAAAGCCAAAGCCTATGCCCGAGAAGCACAGAATGCTGGAAAATAAGTGATGAATGTTGATCTTAGAGATACCATCAACAATCGGAATTGTCCCATCACTTTAAACATAGAAGACGCTAATTTGTTCGCTCACCCACATTCCGACGCTCTTATCATCACTGCCCCGATCGGAGGAATTCCTGTTCACCGAATTATGGTTGATACCGGGGCCTATTCGAGCATTCTCATGTTGCTAACCTTCAAGAAAATGGGCTTGGACCCAGCTGACATTCGACCTTGCAATGATCAGATTCAAGGCTTCAATGGGAGCATCTCTTGTCCCATCGGTGAAATTCAACTCCCTATTCGGTTCGGAGGCTTTGGACCAAAGTCGAAGATCATCATGGAAACCTTCAAAGTTATGAATATCCAGAATGAATACAATGCTATTGTGGGTCGTACTGCTCTCTATAAACTTCGAGCCGCTATCTTAATCTTTCACTACGCGTTGAAGTTCCCTACGGTTGAGGGAGATGGCACCTATTATGGAGATCAACGAGAGGTGCAAAACTTGGCTTTTGCTCTAGCTTCACGCGATAATCATATGCTCGAACCCAACCGAAGTGACGATCATAATCACCTGGATACTATGAATCCTACATCCTCCGACTCCGACGTGATAGCCTCTCGTGTGCCGATTATCGACGTCCTCCCAGCACCATTGACCGACATCCCTATGACGTCAAAATCACCCGATCATGAACGAGTTGACAATCGAAGACAATGTCCCGGCAAAGAAGTCGTCCAAACACCAGATTACATGGAACCAAGACTTCAATTCAAAGACAAAAACCCACATATCCGAGCGGAACCTGTTGAAGATGTCGAGGTTATATATCTGGATGAGTCGGTTCGTGAGAGACCTTTGCGTATCGGAGCTAATCTTCAGGAACCAGTACGTACTCGACTAATCCAGTTTCTTCGATCAAACCCGACGTGTTTGCATGGAAGCATGAAGATATGAAAGACATTGATCCCCAGAAAGCCTGTCACCGGCTCAATCTTGGAAAAACTGTTAAACCTGTCATCCAAATACGTCGAAAGTTTGGACCTGACCGTCAAAAATCTTTGGAAGAAGAAGTAAACAAGCTCATAGACAACAAATTCGTCAAAGAAGCCAAATACCCGACCTGAATATCGAACCCGGTACTTGTCAAGAAAAATAACGGCTTATGGCGTCTGTGTATTGATTTTTCAGATTTAAACAAAGCGTGTCCG